GGCAGACCATCCAGTCGGAAGAAGCTTTGCCATGCAGCTCTGGAAGCTTTACCAACTACAGCTGTGGAGCTAGTACACCCCATCTTCGGCCAACATGGCTAAGAACATGCGCAAGCTCTTTCTCTGCATGGCCATGCAATCCATATGCGAACTAGAAACGCTTCGATTCTTTTCCAAGCATCTCCTTATCACAGACGAGGTGGTCAAGCAGAGTCAGGCAAGGTAGGAACACTTTGAAAGCCATCAATTTGACTTTCAACTTCCCGCGGCCATGAACATGCCAGACTTCTGGCGCGGTGAAAAGTTCAAGCTGCGTGCGATTTCAGGGCAGGCTGCATGACTAAGTGCCTGTGCCCGCTTGTTGTGTCGGAGAGACGATTTGGTTCCACAGTCTTTCCTTAAAACTCCATGCCACTCACCCTTGCACGTTCGACTAATAGCAAAAACATGAATGGCACACGGCCCCTCCCGATCTCTGAATGCGGGTGCACCTGAACCTCAAGGTCACTGATCTTCATCATGAGCATTTGGCCAGCCTGATCATGAAGCGGCAATGAAGCGGAGTGGGCATGAGGCACGGCGCCATGATGTGCCATCTCGAAGACATGACTCTCCAACTTCAAGTCGGTATGTGACGGTATGAAGTGAGATGCGGTGCGAAGCAGCTACAATTATGAACCACAACGTGAATAGACACTTGAGGAGAGGAAAACGAGCGTAGGCACGGAGACGGAAGAGTAAGAAAATGAAGCATCAGAAGACATTGAAAGCGGCCTCAGTCATCTCGCTGGCGGCCACAGGCCACAGGCAACCAAGCTGAGGCAGTATGGGACGTGGTGCGGACCGAAATCCGCAGTCAGAGCGGCCTTCAAGCACAAGTTCCCTTTTTCGCACCCTTTCCGATCAAAGGCTGAAGAGTGGGAGAACTGCTGCTTGGGAAGGCCTGGAGATGTCGGTGTTCACAGACGACAGTGATGAAGAGCACAGCTCTCTGCCCGATCTTCTTCTAATCGCGATTCACCTGTTTAGCTAGCAAGCAATACAAGACTCTTGAGCATGAAATGAACAGTCTCTGCAAGATATGCAAGCAAGAAGCCAATTGGATGATCCGGCCACCCGACCAGGCAAGAGACTACACTCACTTCACCCAAGCGAGCTTCGGCATGATGCGATCTGAGATCCACGTGTCTGCGCTCCATGCAAAAAACGTCGAAGGAAGTGAGGCAGCTCCAATTAACCACGTGGAGAGCTTGTCAATGGAATCTGCTCGCTGTAGGAACTGCATCCGAGTCATGGCCGCCTCACACATTTCTTGCTCAAAGACTTTCTTGCCACCAACGTTCGTACTCTGCTGAAAAGACCTCTTCTCTCAAGTTCTCAAGAGCTTTGAACCCCGATAGGATTGAAATTAGAAACATCCTTCTCCAAATCATCGCCGCCGAGGCAGAGAGGTGGCAACTCTGTTGCCTTGTTGAATTCATCAAACTTCAACTTGAAGTCAGCCATGCCTACAACTTCCCACAGGGAATTCTATCTGAGCCTGCAGGTGCTGCAAAACACTCATGAGTCATGAAACCATCCAGGCGTCCAAAACCCTGCACATCCGCTGTGACCTTTTGGCGAATTTGCCATCAGCGTGCAAGATGCTCGTCTGTGCCTGCAACCTTGCACTCCATGC